GGATTACAGGCGTGAGCCACTGCACCCGGCCGGGGTTAGTCTTTTTAAAAAAGACAAACCCAAAAGACCCAGTGTTGGGCCTCTGGAGCCAGCAACCACACAAGAAACCTCCAAAGGGGGTCGCCAGATAAAATATAGGATGCCCAAGTTCCATGTGAATTTCAGATAAACAATTAAATCTCGCACTCCTACTTAGCAGTCCAAGCCACCATAGCCCCAAAGATTGGTATCCTCATCTTGAACGACTTCATGTCCTTATTTTCAAAAACAAACATATATTACTCTTCTTTTGTTATTAATACATGCTCCTCATGACAAAGAAGTCAACAAACCCACAGAAATATACATGCAAACAGTTCGGAAGTATATAAAGTAAGTGACATGATTACTCTGTCTCCTTCCCTTTCCATGTGGGCAAGTGCGCCTTTAGGGTTCTCTGGTAACTTATCTGCAGGGGTCTCCGGAGAGGGAGATTTGACTGGCTAAAGTGCCCACCAAGCCATGGGGATCAGCCTTGACACTGCCAAGCTAAGTGGTTAAAGAAGGGAAAAAGTATAGAAAGAAGGAGATCCGTATGTATCTATTTAGATTCATTGTTTTACAAGTAATGGAAAATCCAGACCAGATGGGCTTCGACCCAAAAGGCTGTTGCAGACAAAAAGTCCAAAGGGGATCAGCCTTCAGGTAGGGCTTGATCAAGTACCTCAAATAATGTCACCACAGAGCCAGTTTCTCTCCATCTTTCTATCCTGCATCCCATGGTGTTCTGGACTTCCTCCTGAAGTTCCATCCAGATGCCTCTCTGGAAAGCTCCAGACTCCCATAAGATGGCAGTGAGCTTCAGCCAACATTGTAACCTGGGCATCCTACACCTCCACGTCCTGAGAAAGAGATAAGAGCCATGATGATCAGCCCTGCGGAAGCCTAGAGAAGTCCCAGCGACATCCCCCCATCTCACTGGCTCAGAGAGGCTGACATGCCCATTTCTGGACCAATCACATGGCTGGGGGTGGGCCCATCAGAGCCCAGTCCTGGAGATAGGAGCAGGCGTGGTCCCACTGGGCCACCTGAACAAGCACAGGCAAGGAGTGGATTCCCAAAGACACCTGGGAGGGATACTGTCAGGAAAGGGGACTGGCTGCTGGGCAGAGACAGTAAAATGTCTTTTCCAGCATCTTCTGGACTCCGTCTCCCCCAGTTCCTGGCAAATCACAGAGTCAAAGGCACCGGAAACACTGCTTCTGAGCCTGCTCTGTCCAGCAACTTTATGCCATTTTCCAAATGCTCCCGAATTCGCCCAATCAAAGATAAGTCCTGCACTGCGCTTGGAAGAGCTCAGATGACCTGCATTTTCAAGTCTCCATGGGGTCACGTCCCCTCTGAAGGGCTGCAGAAAAATCACAAAAAAAGACTTTAGAATGTCTGTTTCCAAATGGCCTTTGGACCCGTGGGGGTCAGTGAAATGAGAAAAAAAGAAGAATTATGCTAAATGCTGACGGTATTCATTTATTGAAATATCCTTTCATGTGCCGGGCGCGGTGGCTCACGCCTGTAATCCTAGCACTCTGGGAGGTCGAGGCGGGCGGATCGTTTGAGCTCAGGAGGTTGAGACCAGCCTGAGCAAGAG